TAGGTATACTTCACAGTAATTTTTAAGTAAACTTTAAAATTGATTTCTACATTTAAATAGCTATGACAGACGATGGTATATCTCATAAGTGTTCAGAGATTTGAACATACATGAGAATATTTGCATACTAAAAATATTTTATAAGCTCTTTAGGCACCAAGTTGTTGAATCAGAGACCATTTACTCCTACATTTTCATTAATTTAATGCCAACTATCAAAATTACTTATTATTTATTTAAATTCCACTTCAATCCTGAAAAAAAATGTGACTCGAGCTCCTTATACCCTAATTTTACAATCCATGTTAAAAGAACTTGTAAAATCTTCTCAGTTTCATAAGCTGTTCAATAAAATTAACCTTTGAAATATGAAGTATTTATAACCTTTTGGAATGAAATGGAACTTTGTATCCACCAAGTAAATTATCCAAAGTGGACAGGAGACATAAAATTTTTAGAAACACAATAGATTGTCAATGGTTAAATTATGATGAGTCACCACTGATTAAACAGAACTAAGTCCTATTTGATTAGAAAGAACTCCAAAATATTTTAAAGCATGTCCTCATCTCTGAACTAATAGTCCTAGACACCTGAATGAATGTACAATTTCATAAACAGAGGAATATACATTTTAGTTGTGAGCACACCATACACTTCTGTGCCTTATTTTTTCCCAAGAAAAAAATCAGATATATTAAAAGCAGTTTCAACGTTTCAACTCCGTCTATTTTATGTAACTGCCATTTCACCTAAGTTGCTGAAGGAGTTTTGGAAAATATTTTTAATTTTCAAAAGCTTTTGAGAGACTGCACCTAATCTATTTTAAGTGAAATCCAACTAATTTTTAAAGCATGATTAAACAATCATTAGGTCAAAATGGCATGTCCCCCTCCTTCACAAAACAATCCAACTCTTTTTTCAGACATCAGTAAATATCAACAGGATAATTAAGGCATAATTGCTTTTTCAGGAATGATTTACCAAACACAGCCAAATGTAAAGCCTCTCTTTTTCAAAAAAGCATATTCCAGACACCCACATGTATAATTAAACAGGTTATTTCTTAAAGGTAATGGAGATGTTTTCTTGTTGTATTCACCTTTTAGTTGGTTTTTACTTTAAGTATTACATTGTTGAATATAAATATTCTTTAGTTAAACCTAATGAGTTTTTAAATTCTCATTTTAGATATTAAAATGTATGGGGGAAGGGAAAAGAAGTGTGGAAAATATAGAATAACTTAAGAATTTGATCGATTTTCAATTAAGGAATTTCATAAAGATATCTTGTTGCTGTTCTTAAATTAATTCTGCATCAGAAGCCAAGTGATTTTTTCGGTCTTGAATAGTAATGATACAGATTTTCTTTACCAATAATGTATATATTAACTACATTTAATATATCAGATACAATTTTCTTTCGGTATTTCTAAAGAAAATCTGAGAGCCTGCTAAGGCTTAGTAACAGTAACAATTCTGCCAGAGTAGTGAATTTACCATTTATTTTCACAATCGAAAGAAATCTGTTTGTTTGTGAATCTGCTATTTGGAACAAACACATGAAAAAACTAGTAATTTTCTTTGGACACAAGAAATGAAACCACTGCTTTTTGATCTCAGTATGGGAGCAGACATGAATTTGCGGACATATAGTATCTTTTTACCTGTTTTTCCACTCACGTTAATACTCCACAGCTTTTATCGATTTTTTTTCTCAAAAAAAAATTGTTTTCACAATCTAGGGCAATGTCTCCATATACTCTCAGTAGCTACTGAAGACTGAAAAGTTCTACAACAAACGAGGTGACTTCAGAGCTTCAGTAAATGAATGCGATGCTCCTAGGAAGATGTTAAGTTTTAAAATTCCTTTTAAAATCACAAATATGAGTTACCCTTTACGCCTCACGGCACCTCACACATGTTCGCTTAAGAATGAACTTTTCTGCCCCTGGAGTTGAAGCAGAGAATACAGGCTGGGAGTAAAAAATACGAAGATTTCGTTGGGTGCTCAACGAAAGAAAACTGTTGAGTTAGCAACTGTCTGCACGTTGCTAAATCTCAAGTTGCCTCACTTGTGTCACGAACACCCAATCCAAACAACAAACCTCTCCCCTCCCGAGAGGGGCGAGCAGACAGCAGTTCGGCCCATTAACAGGTGGCCGGCCGGGAGGGGCCTTCCGCGCTCCCGCCGCCGCCGCCGCCGCCGCCGCGGCCCGGGGACGCTCCTCCGGCGAGGCCGCCCTCACCTCGCCCGGCCTGGCCACCTCGGGGCGCCCCCGCCGCGGCCACGCGCTCACCCCTCTCCGCACTGGCTCGCGCGCCCCGGTGGCCTGCGGTGCCCCAGCGCCTTCCCGCGCCTGGTTTCCACCCAGCGCCACGGGGCCTCGGCACAGACGGGGAGGCCCTGGGAGAAGCACGTGCCTCTTTTCGAAGCCTCGTTTCCCCGGAGCGGGAACTCCCGCCGGGTCTCCGCGCGCCCGGCCACCGGGGCCCGTCCGCCCAAGTACGCAGGCGCCGAACCTTCTAGACGCCGCCGAGTGGCCGGGCCACGGGGACGCGTCTGACGTACCCAGCGGCAACCTAGGCCCAAGTGTGAAGTTCTGGAGCGCCCAGGCCAAGCGGGGCCAACTAACAAATGCGACGAAACTGAGGCCGGGGGGTTTGAGTACCTTGCTCCGGAGGCCACACAGCTGAGAAGGCGCAAAGCCGGGTCTCCTGGTCTCATTCCCCCGAACAAACAAGAGGACCGCTCGGCCTCCCCAGAACCCGCCTCGGAACTGCGGGTGGGAGCAGCGTAGCACCTGGGCCTCTAGCGCCACTGGCAGCTGCTGCGTGAACCGTGGCGGGACGGGCAGGGTGGGCTGAGGAGGGCGCCCGGGAAGCCCTCCAACCCGAGTGCCCAGGCGCGTGCAGCGCGGGCTGGAAGCCTCCCCGCCCCGACCGCCGGCCCGGCCTCTCCGGCACGTGCGGAGCCGGCACCCGAGGGGCCACGGCGCGCCCGGGCGGGTCGGCCTTGGCTCCGCCTTTCACTGGAGGCGCTGCCCAAGGCGGAGCCCGCGCGGGCGCGGCCCGGCCCTGCGCTCGGGGTCTTCCTCCGGGGGCGGCGCCGGCGGGCCGCGGCTGCGCCCTCCCGCGGGCCGTGGCTGAGTCGGGGATAAGGGGTTTGTGGGCGTGGGGAGGGGCAGTGCGCCGGAGCCGGGCCTACGGAGTCCGCAGGGAGGACGCGGCCGAAAGGGCTTCTGTATACCCGGAGCTCGCAGCCCTAAGACCTTGCTCCGCGCGGGACTCTGAGGGAGGGGTCGTTCTCCCAACCCGGCCTCACGTTGTGTTCTCAGGTCTCGCACGGAATCAAAAGAATAGGGTGTGTTGGTCACTTCGCAGGAAACTTTTCGTTGTTTCCTTATTTCCTTTCCGTCCGTGGACAAGTGGAGCAGCTTCTCGGCCGTACACTCAGTGGGTTTCGGACCGAACAGAATCTGGACAGGTCTGGGCCCCTGGGTTTTCTGGAGGGATCATCCCACCCCATCCCCACCTCTCTCCTGGTCTTCTCTCCGGACACGATGCAACCGTCCTTTCCGACCCCCTGCTGCAAGTGGGGAGTTCTTCTTCCCCTGCCAAAGTGAAACGCATCCTTGTCGACTTTCCTAGATCTTAGGTTTGCGTTGCAAAGAAACTTCACAATACGCAAAAGATATACTTGACCACTTGTGGCAAGGGCCTGGGGGTTTAGAGGGACATCTTAGCACGTGGAAGGAATGACTCGGATCCCCTAGCCGCCGTGAAGCCACGCGGGACAGCTCAGCAGAAAGGAAGGCTGTCTGCTGCCAACATGCAGGACACGGATCGGTTTTTTGTCGTTTTGTTTTCTTTTCCTTTTTGGCTCAGCTCTGAAAGCATTACAGAGCTATCCTTTCCCGCCTCCCGACCCTCTCTCCCTCCCCCTCTTCTGTCTGGTGCAAGCAATTAGGGTGAAGAAATCAGTGCCAGGTTCCTGCCTCTGAAGAGAAAGGAATTGCTTCGGGAATTGAGTCCTGACACCTGTCTCTGTCCGGGATGGCGAGAGGGGATGCGGGGTCAAAACGCCGGGGGGCAGGGGCCGACCTGGCCGGGAGGGGAGAACACTCCCTAAGAGAACGTCTCTGCCGACTCCTCTTGCCACGTCCTCCCTCCCTATCATCTGGCCTTCTGCTCCCCACGGGTCGTTAAGACGCGGGGGTCTTAAACACGGGAGTTTCCCTCCTTTTAGGCTCCCCGAGACCAGGACCTGGGGGCTGGAATCAGAAGAGCAACACTGACAAGCCGTTCATTAATTTGCATTTATTTTCGGGAAATAATGTAGATAAAGGGGGAGGAGGGGGACTGCCTTACATTTCAACAAGTAATTTGTGATCTTCACATCGGACAAATCAAATTTACAAATTACTTTCCCACCTACTGGACGAAAAGGCCAAAGCCAAAATTGATACACAGGCGCGGGCTCTCCGCAGATTTCGGAGAATGAAGGTGCACTAAAAACTCACTAGACAAAACAGGGTTGTTTAAAGAGAGAGAAGCCGACAGAGGAATTGGAACTAGGGTTTGGGGCCTGGGTTGGTTGGTTGGTTGGTTGGTTGGTTGGTTTTTCCGTAATGCCGTATTTTTATTTGTTTTTTGTTTTGTTTTCTTTTCTTTTCTTTTGTGGTTGGCGTCTACACCGGAACTGCGACTCTGTGCTTCGACCGAGTGAAGCGCTCAGTCCCTGCGTCCCCGCCCAGCCTAGCTCCCTCCCCTGTACCCTGACTTGGCCGTTTCCTTCGCACTCTCCGACCCTCCCGATCCTCCGCGCCCAGCTTCCTGGAACCAAAAGGTTCTCTTTAATAAATACACAGAGGGAGAAGGTGTGAGAGAGCAGGACAGCTTTGCAACAACTGAAAAAATAAAAGCGCCATCGTTTAAGGAAGAGAGGAAGGGGGGCAGAGGGAAAATATTTTTTGCTTTTGTTTTATATATATGTGTGTATATATATGTATATATATGCTGTATATATCTTAAAGTTCTATTTCCTGGGCGCTAAGACGAGATATGCTCAGTTCAACCAACAGCAACTAAAAAGTTTAAATGGTCCCTGGAACGGACCCGACTATGTACAGCATTCCCGCCGAGGCGGAAGCTTGAGCCAGTTCTACGCAGGGCGGGGCTGTGCGCGAGAGGCTGGGGACGCGCCCCCCCCCCCCCCCGGGCCGGGCCCCCGCGCATCCCGCTGGGGAGGAGAAAGCGCCGGGAAGCTCTGGCCTGCAGGCGGGGCGCAGGACCGAGGGCTGTTGGAGGGGCGGTAGTCTGCAAGCGAGAAACACTTAGTGGCTGTTTTGATTTGGGGTAGAGTGTGGGTGCACTCCAGTGGGCAGACACATGCCAGTTAGTGACTCCAGTGTCCAGAAAGAATAAATAAAACTGTACGGTTCAAACAGCGAGTCCTAGCAAAGAGCCTCCGAAGGCTGCAAGTGCATAATAACTGCCCAGAAACACTGGAGGACAGTGACTTAGGAGTTCGTTAAGGGATGAGGAGGAGAGCACGCAGCTCTCTCCATATAGAACTTGTGGGCCAAGCCAAAGCACCTGTCCCCTCATCCGAGGGGTGGGCGGGTCTGCACATCCCCCAAACAAGTGGCAGAAAGATGAGGGCAGCAGTGCAGGCAAAGGGCATCTTTTAGGGGCATGAAAATTCAGGTCTGCAGAAGCCGAGGCAAAGGCGGGCGGTGCAGCAGCAGCAACAGGACGGGGACCACGGAGGGCGCAGGTAGTTGCGTTTCATCTCCTCTTCCTCCCACTCCTGGGCTCACAAGACCTGGAACCGCCATGAGGCTTGGTCCTTATAGTCCAGACAGTCGGGCGAATTGAAGTTGAGTTTCCAAGCCGAGGAAGCAGCGGCGGCGCCAGGCTCCTTGTAATCCAAGCAGTCGCCAGAGTTGAAGGCGAGCCCTGAGCCGCCGTAGCCCTGGTGGTGGTGGTGGTGGTGGTGGTGATGGTGGCCTGAGGACTGGCTCAACGGGTGGTGCGCGTGCGGATGGTGGTGATGGTGGCCGGCCATGGAGGAGGGTGCCATAGGGCTGAGCTGGTGCGGGTGGTGGTGCGAGTGCATGGGCGCGAGATACGAGCTGCAGTCCACGCCGCCAAAGTAGGAAGAGGAGGGCGCGGGGTAGCCCTGCCCGTAGCTGCCGCCCTGCCCGTAGGACATGGGGTAAGAGGCTGCGGCCGAGGCGGCGCCTGCAGCTACCGAGCGCTGCATGCACGACGCGTTGCTAGGCGCGGCCAAGGGCTCGGGCACTGACACCGACGCGGGCGCGGAGCCCGGCGAGATGGAGGCCGGACTCCAGATGGACGAGGCAGCCGGCGTACTCAACGACGACGGGACCGCCACCGCCGGGTTCCCGCCCAGGCCTGCCGCCGCTGCCGCCGCTGGGTTGGCGGAGGCGCTGGATCCTGAGCTGGAGGACGAGGCGGAGCTGGACACAGCGGGCGGCGTGAACTGGCCGCTGCTTTCAGAGCCCGAGCTCTCCCGCACCGGGGACGACTTCTTCTTGGCTGGGCGGCTCTTGGTCCCACTCCCGCTCTGCTGCTGCTGGCGGCATTTGGCACGGCGGTTCTTGAACCAGACCTGCAGCGGGCCGAGTCGGGGAGAGGGTGTCAGGGGGCTTGCTACTTCCCCGCCCCTTACCCACCGCCAGGCCTGGGATCTCTTATCCCTCTCCTACGGAGGCCTCCACCCCTCCTCAGCTCCCGCCCGGCCAGCCCCAGCCCCAGCCCCTGCGTTCCCAGCTCCTCCGCCCTCCCCCACCCTTCAGATCAAAGATCCTCCTCTGGCAAAGTAGGGATGTGCACCTCCCCACCCCCAGCGCAACTCTGCCCTAGGGCGGAACATTTGCGTCTGTCCAGCCAGAAGTTCAGCCATCTCTAAACTGCTGCTGTTGGCTGCTTCCCAACAGCCTCGTGTATGTTTGGAGGCCCTGTCTTCTATGAATAGAGCTGAGGAAACTGCGGACGGAGGAGGCCGCAGAGCGCAGGACAGTCACCAAGTCTGAGGTGGGAGCCAGTCGGCCCCTGGAGGCCCAACGCTGGGCAAAGCGAGAAGTAGTGGATGCAGGAGCAAGGCGGGGACGCTGAACAGAGGCAGTACTCGGGGGACTAGGGAAGGAAGCCTGAGCAGAATTTCGTTGGGCTTGTTGGCTCTGAGTGGGGAACCAAATGGGACAAAGTTCTCACTCCTCTTGGAGGGCCCTGGTACATGGCACAACATTCCTGGTTCTTTCTCTAGTCTCGAGGGAAAGCAGGCGAGATAAAAAGGCCCCTGAGGAGAGTTCTGAAGTTATAATCCAAACAGTATTTTCATCGCAAAACTAGAAACTGCAAAACCGGTAGCCGAGTTTTGCGTTCGGCATCCTTTCTGGGCAAAGGAAACATCTAATCGAACCGGCGCCACCCAGGGAGCGCGCTTCGACAGAGCACCAGGCTCTGGCCAAGCTCCAGTCTTCCATTTCCAGGATCCCGGGGATGCAAAGAGAGAGCGAAGGCACAATTCAAGACCCCGAAGAAACCTGCCAAATCCTGGAATGGCGAAAGAAGCAAGGGCAAGTGTCGGGCTCTCCGGGCACTTTACGTTCGGGAATCTTGCTTATCCTCCCGAAATCCAAAAAACGGATTTTCAACACCGAAGGCGCCGTGGGACCAAGGGCCGAATCCAGTGCTCTAAGCTAGTGCCTTTAACTCTGCCCTTCTTCCAGGCCCGGGCTGAGCGCTAGGGGGAGTCTGAGAGGGGCTACCCAGTCTGTAAGCCCGCCCCACACCAGACCACCCTTCCCAAGCCCTCTCCAAATAGCCCCAGAGCCCCTACCCTGACCCAAGAGCCCTGGGCGCGCACACCTGAACTCTGGACTCCGGCAGGTTGATCTTGAGCGCCACCTCCTCGCGCATGAAGATGTCAGGGTAGCGAGTCTTGGCGAACAGCGCCTCGAGCACGTCCAGCTGTGAGCGTGTAAAGGTAGTGCGTTCCCGCCGCTGCTTCCGGGGGGTGGCTGAGGGGACACGCGGGGGCGCCTCGGGTCAGCGGTGGTCACGCGGACCCACGCTAGAGGACTCAGGCCCCAGGCAGGGCCTGTGCGAGGCCGTTGCAAAAGAGAGCCGAGCTCCAAGCGAAAGAAAAACTCCCCGGGGAGGCCGAGCCTGAGAGGCCACAGGTGGGAGAAAGTGCGTGTGTGAGACTGGCAACCGGTGTCTTCAAGACTCTAGAGTTGCCCCGTTCCCTACGTCTCCGAGGTTAGGAAAGGAAAAGAACTTATATAATCTCCCTTGTTTCACCACCTCGCCCCCAACACACCCCCTGGCTGGAGAATGGGGAAGGAGTCTGCAGAAACACCACCTGGAAAACACTTTCCGAAGGAATAAATGGGGGTGAAGGAGTGGGAACTAGAAAACAAAACAAAACAAAAAGCCAGGATTTGGCTCAAGCCTTCCATATCCGCAGTGCAAAAGTTGGTGCAAACGACCGATGCAGACAACAATTTAATTAGAGAGAGAGAGGGAGAGAGAGAGCCCCTCTTCCTCATCTCTGCTAGTCGTTTCTCATAAGGAAAGCTTGGTTCTTCCTGTCAGGGCCTAGAGAGGATTCAGATTCCTTACTCAATATTGGGGGGGGGGGGGAGGAAAGGAATAGATTCACAAACACGCACACATACACCTCCCCCCCCCAAAAAAAGCCACCCATGGGAAACTACCTGAGGTAAATGCACCCTGTGCTGCTGGTGGGACCACAACAGGAAACAGGTTGCCCGTGTGGCCAGGCTGGGAGAGCACACATTACACAACCTCACTGCCCAGGCCCACTTCACCCAGCCAGCCGTGACTGCCCTGTGAGCCTGCAGCCTGCAGTGCATTGTAGGCATAGTAGCCAACAGGGTCCCTGGGCCTGCTCAGCGACAAAAATGTGTGCTCAAACTCAAGAGTCTGGGGATCCCCAAGATTTGCAGGGACCAGAGGCAGGGACCCGTGCTCACCCGGGTAGCCCACGGAAGGATGCAGGAGGTCCATGGCTGGCCCGGCCAGGCCCAGCCCGTTCATGCCGTATGGGGGTTGTTTGAGGTAAGACATCATGCTAACAGCCGGGTGGAGGCGCCCCGACGGATCCAGGGGGCTGGGGCCAGGCGCAGTGCGGGGTTCCCACTGCGCAGTCCTTCAAGCTCTTTGGCGTCTGGGGGCCCGGCCTATGGAGACAGGAGACACATAAACAGTGATTGGGAGCCATCAAGGCTTCCTCGTGTTGTCCGAGGCGAAGACACGGGATGCGGTGGGGACTGGGTGGGGACGAAGGCTGTGGAACTTCGAGAGGCAGTCAACTCGGCTCTACAAGGCCTTAGTCTAAAAACCACAGCTTCTTTGAAAAAAGTAAGCTTTTCTTGGATGTCATCGACTCTTTTCGCACTTGGAGTGGTTTATAAAAGACACTCATAGGACATCACTAGGAGCGAAGAGAGGCTTTTAAAGCAGGGCCAAGCTGGAAAGGTCAGCGCCTGAAGAGCGGAGTGTACAAGGTCCCAAGTCTAGGCAAAATTCTGGTCCGGTAGGAGCAGGCCTCAGTACTGCAAAAGCAAACGTTTACTCGGCGCCAGTGAGACCGGCTGCCCAGGGCATAAGGGGTTGTTTCGTTTTGTTTCAAATGTTTTTGAAAGCGGGACCAAAAGGTAGAGCCTCCAAAGAGCCAAGGTGAGGCACTTCGGGGAGCTCCCAGCGCCTGGGCCTCTCCGGGATGCATTGCCCACTTAGGAAAGTACATTCCTTCAAAGGTCTCCGCCACTGGGTCCCGGCCCCAGAGCCCACAGCCACCACCCCTCTAGTTAACTCCTCTGTGCCCAGCCGTTGAAAGACTGCTCACCGGGAATCCCACCACACCTTAACCGCAGTTACAGGCCCAGGGCCCGCAGAGGCGGCCAGAAGACGCAGAAGGGGCCACTGTAGAGGTGGCGGCTCTAAGACGCGGCGGGAGGTCGGGGCGCCTCGCCACAGCCGCAGGCCCTTCTCCGCGAATGCGAGCGGGTCCTTCTTTCTGCCTGGTCCTGGCTGCGGACAATGTCGTCCCGGCGGAGGCTGAAAAGTGACCCGCCGAGCTCCCCAAAAGGTCTCACGGATTTGGGAGGCCTGAGTGCAGCGTTCTCGTGGGCTCCCTGCCTGTCCTACGAGATGAACCCGCGGCCCCAGAGCCGGATCCAGGCTACACAAGTAGGCCTCGGCGGCTGAGCTCGCGCTGCCCCGCACCGGCAAGTCGAAGACTCGCTTCCCCGGCCGCCTCCGAGCAGAGGCGCTGTTCTCAGGGGGGTAGGAAGCAGAGCGGGAGGAATGGGACCCGGGCCCCAGGGGACCTGTCGCTTCACTGCGCGTCGCGGGGATCCAAAGCAGACCTGGGGCCCGGGCTAGGAGTGCAGGGAGAGCAGTAGGAGCTCAAGAAGCCTCCCATTCCTATCCTCCAGGACTCCACGGTCCGGGCTGGGGAAACCCAGTTTGCAGGGAAGGGGACGAGAGGTAAACAGCCGGGGGGCTCCAGGGCCCAAAGAGAAGGGGACGTCAAAACGCGGCGCCTCTGCTAGGCTGCAGCGTGAGTTTGCAAAGACTTTCCTTCAAACTTAGCACTTCAGCTCGGTTACTTCGGAGGAGGCGGGGGAGGGGGCGCGGGGCCGACGCAGAGATCTCCGGTCGTCGGCTCACTAAGAGGGGAGAGAGGCCGCTCCCCAGCCCCGCCCACCTGCCGGGGACCCGGGAAGCCGAGACCCGTTGGAGGAAGGGGAGGTAAGAACGACCGACGAGCTCCCGCAGTCCAGGGCCGCCCCCTGGCTTTCTCCTTACCTGCCCTCAGCTGCCGGGGCCGCTCACCATCTACCTCGCGCCCTCACACAGACCCGCGAGGCAGCCAACCTGCAAAACAGAGCGGCACAGGAATCACTCGCCGGGCCGGGCGGTTGGTCTAGGATCCCTGGATTTCTTTCTTTCCCCAACTTCCCTCCTTCCTTCTCTTTCTTTCCAGTGGCTTTGTGCGTGTCCCTCCGGGTTTCACTTTATTGCACAGACACTTTGTTTGCAAAGCCCTACGCGTTCCCGAGACACTACCTCGCCCGGGACCGCGCAGAGGGGCCGCCAGGGGTAGGGTGGGGGCGAAAGGGGCAGAGTTGGGAGGTGGCTCGCGGGTGCAGTTGCACTCCCGGTACAACGTGGACGCGGCGGGGCCTGGGGAAGTCCTGCAGAGGCACTTTGCAAACTAAATAAATCAAGCGATTTACCTTGTCGGAGTGGCTTGTCTTGCCGTGTTGTTTAGGTGATTGGAAATGTAGCCTGATGAAGATTGATCACCTTTCTACTGCCCTCCCCGGGTATGTGAACGCGAGGTGAGTGCGTAACGGAGCTCTGCTGCCAATCCGCGGCCCCGCGCGGGCTGAGTGACAGGGAGCCGGGCAATGGCAGCACGAGCCGGGGGTTACCTCCGCGCGCCCCCGCCCTCCTCCGCCCCCTGCACCCCGCCCTCGCCGCCCGCCCGCCCCGCCCCGGTGGCGCGCTAACTCCAGGGCTTGGCTGGCAACACCGCGCAGAGCGAGGCGAAGACAGCGAACGCTGCGCCAGAGCCCCGTCCGCATAGAGGGACGCCGGTCCTGAGGCCGCCCCGGGGTCCCCGCCCTTCCCTCGCCCTTTCGGCGCCCGGCAGGGAGTGGCAGAGAGGAGGCGCGGTGCTGGAGAACCGGTTCCCTCGCTCTCTCGCGCGCGCGCCACCCCGCTCGGCGGCCGGGCTGTGTGCTCGAGGACTCCGGAGCCACGGGCTGGAGCGGAGGGGCCCCCGGCCAGTCTCGCGGCGCCTCGCGCCCCAGCGTCTTCTTTCAGCGCGCCGCCACCTGCAGACGGACGCCGCGGGCGGCTCGTGCTGGCACAGGCTGCTTTGCCGAGCGCGGGAGCGGCTCTGGGGGCGCAGATCCCGCCTCGGCGCCTCGGGATTCCCGCGCCCGGGAACGGCACCCGCAGGAGAGGCGCCGCCGCTGACCCACTCCTCGGCGTCTCCTGGGGTTCACAGTCCCCACGCAGGGCGTTTGCAAATCTTAGACGCTTCATCTTTAAGGCTGGAAGCCAGCGTCTCCTACCCCTCACACACACACTGCTTCCGAATCGAAAGATTCTGATAGGAAGGAAACTTTCTCTTTCACACTCATTCTCTGTCTTCTTCCCGATCTCCTTCCACCAGGGACCATCGGGGGGGAAACGTGGCCACAGACCCTTGCCCTCGATTTCTTTCTCACATACCGCTGAAGGAGCCTTCTTGGGTCGACTTCCCCGGATTGTTCGTACCGGCGAAGCCCGTTTCCCAGCCGAACAAACTTCTCAAACCCGTGTACCTGGGCGGATTTTTCAAAGCGCCAAAAATACGTTTTCGCCCCAACCCTGAGCAAGGCAATTCTTGTCAGTGGCACCTCCTTCTGAATATTAGGCACCACTTTACTCCCTTTCGAGGAATGCCTACCTCTTTTCCTAATGCCCCCTCCCCTCCATCCCAACAGGCGGAGTGAAAAGTTTGAACAGGAGTAAGTGTGAGGGCGAGTCAAGGAGTCGCCAGGCGTGTCGCGGTCGGGCGCGCCCGCGCTGCCGGGGCCGCGGGGTCGGGCCCCGAGAGCGGACTGGGCTCTGGGTGAGGAGGAGGAGGAGGAGGAGGAGAAGGAAAGGGGCGCCCGCTGAGTGAAAAGGGGCCGCGGCCGCCGCGCATCAAAGTGCTTCCCCCTCCCCCAAGCGACACTTCCCTTTGGAGTCCGAATAAAATACGGTAACAGAATATGATGGAGGGCACACTGTTTCCTTAACTGCTTCTCAAAGGACCCGGGAGATCTTCTTAGGACCTTTAATAAGGCTTTGGTCGGTTCTTTTGTTGATCTCTCAAAATCAACTCCTTCTAATTGAAGTTGGAGCTGAAAGCGAGCTAATGTTCAAAGAAAGTGGCCGCCAGACCAACGAAATTACATTTTTTTTTGGACGATGAGGGAACATCTAATCAAAGGGGCAAAGGAGGAGGGGTGGGGGTGGGGGCGTATGGAGGAGAAAAGGAGGTTTTACAAGATCCTTCTCTGGTTCACAAAAGTCAGCGACACGGGCGCTTCTCTCCAGAACAAAGACACCGCAGCCCATTCACAAAAGGGAAAGAAAGACAGAGACACAGAGAGAGAAAACAATAAAAGAACGAGAGAAAAGGGAAAAACAGGAGAAAGAAAAAGCTTTAACAGGAAAAGAAACTGCGCAGAGCGCAGCGCTGACCCGGGCGGGGACACAACTTAGGCTCGCGCAGGCCCCCGCGGGCTGTAGCCCGCGAGGCCCGCGGCTCGGAGCCCCTGCGACGGTGCAAAGGCTTAAAGAAAGAAATGAAATACACCCGCGCCTTCAGTTCCGGGGAAAGGCGCGGGCAGGAGGGCACTGGTCTGTAGGGGAAGGGGAAGGCTATGCGGGCGTCCCGGAGTGAGCGGCGAGAGCGTCTGCGTCCGCAGCCCGGCGCGGTCCCAGCCCGGGCCTCCGCGCTCTGCGCCCGCGTGTAGCCGTCCGGTGCCGGGGTGCCTGCCGGCGTCCCCGCCCGGCACCCCCTCGCCCTCGGGCCCCCTCCGGGCCGCGTCTCGCCTGCAGCTGCGGCGCGGGCCGAGGTCGGGCGCGGAGAGCCGGGGCTGCTGTGCGCGCTGGAATGTGCTCAGGCAGTCCCCAGGGCCCGCCACGCGGGAGTCCAGCGCTCTCGCTTCCAGATGCTGCCACGGTCTCGGGGAAGTTGGGAGGTATCAAGTAGCACCCCCCCACCCCACCCCCGGCTAATGAGAGTGTTTATCTAATCCCAAATTGCCGGCGAATTTTCTTAATGCTCAACCCATAAAACCCCGGGATTAAGAAAAGAAAGAGAGGGAGAGGGAGGAGTGTAGAGAGGGAGACAGACTGAGATGAAAGTTTCTGGTACGCGGCGTGGAGGACTGAGGCGGCCGTCGTTAGGCAAATGTCCAGGTGGGAGACGCTGGGCCAGAAGCCGCGACCGTTCCAGCAACGGCCGCAGGGTGGGGAGGGGAAGAGGGGGGATCACCGAGGGAGAGCACGTCCACCCAGCGCGAGGCCCCCGGGCCGGGGTGGGGGCGTGGGAGCCGGGCCCTGGGACCCGGATCCGGCACCCAGGTGACCTCGAGGCCGGGCCAGACTCTGGGGGACATTTGGGACAGGGGGAGGGGTTTGGCTCCGGGGTCGTGGGACCCTGGCCAGGGGCGGAAGTTCTGTGCCGGCCTGCGGGCTGTGCCCAAGCCAGCCTGCTGCCAACGCTCCTCCTCCCCAGCGACCCCCGGGCCCACAGCTTCTTTTCCCGCAGCGCGGGCTGTCTGGTTCCGGGCCTCTCGGCACGCCGGGCTTGCGCCTGCGCTCGGCTGGCAACCTCTGGGCACAACGCGACGAAACCGGGACGCGGCGCCTTCGCCCCGGGCCTGACCCCGCTAGTCCCGGGGGTCCGCGCTCCGCCGCCGCTGCGGGGCGTGCGGGCGCCACCCAGCAGCCCAGATGGAAACCCCGCGAGGCTCGGGACTGGGGCAGGAGGGACAGCAAATGTGGGACTAGGGAAGGTTTGTCACTTGACAGGTCGAAAGCGGCGTGGGGAGCCGCCTCTCGGCGAGGCTCGTCGGGAGGGAGGCTTCCCCGAATCCAACATAAACGGGATGGTGATGCTGGCCGCCCAAGCCCCAGGCTGCTCCGGGCTGGCGATTTCGTCTGCCCGCTTCCCTGGGGTTGGAGTCGGGTTCTGAGAGCTTCCCCCAGAGCGGCAGCTAGCTCCGCTAGCTTGAATAAAGAGGACAAAAACTCAATTTCATTTAGTTCTGATAACTTTTCAATACTTCTTAACAATCCTTGTCAGGAAGAAATTCTACCGTAGGAAGTTTTCTCCTTTTGAAAGCCTGGCACTTCTCGAACGCAATTTATGTGTATGTGTCTGGTGTAGATTTGTGTATATATTTACATATATGTATGTGTGATCTAGGCTAAAATATAAATGCTAGAGCGCTGTTTCTGTCTCTAGACTTGTTGAACGAGCTTGCTTTGTTTCGGACACCTCTGTACAGGAGTGACGGAAACTACCATAAAATCGCCAGTTTTTTCTGTAGCCTAGAACTTCTTGCTAAAAGTTCCCTTTCTCCCGTCTCATACACACACCTGCACACATGTAACCTCGCTGCCGACAATAACCTTCTTTCTCTTTCTTTCTTTCTTTCACTTCAGGACCTACAGACTTGCAGGTTATCAGAAGTCATAATTTTTCCTAATGAGTGCAACGTTACTAACAATTGAAAATAATGTGGAAAATTCATGCAGATATTACTAGCATTTTGTCAGTGCTGTGCAATCACAAATTTCCTCAAATCTTTAACGGAGATGACCCTTGACAAAAGAGAATAGTTTACACTGCTTAAGAAAATATGACTAACTGTTTTTCAGTTCGCATGTGTGTGTCAGCAGGGCCCCTTTGGGATGGTATAAACTTACTCAGCTCCAAATACAGCCTAGTATCCTGCTCTGCAATCAAGAGGACCATTTTCTCCCACATGAAAAGTCTTATGGATACAGGAACTTCTCAAACCAGTGGCAAGTTTTCATTGCAAAGAAGCATCAGCAGTGGTTACGGTAAGAAAGTTTCTGCTTTTATTGAAAATTTATATATGACTCAGTATTGTAATAAATAAACAGATAACCATTTTCACACACACAAAAAGACGACAGTGCTATGCTAAAGAAGAAAATATTAATTGGGAGATTTACTCATAGTGGCAAGACAGACTTTTATCAATACAGAATAAATATTAACAGCATTCTTGAGCCAATGTTGAGACCCAACAAAATGTAGGAACCAAGCTAGATGTAATAAATAATTATCCAGAGCAAAAGATGGCGCATTCTCAGATAAGACCGTCTTTGTAAACTGATGCATGTCAATTAGCCCCATCCTCACAGCTCACCTTCAAATCACAGGACTTGTCTCAGGCTACATTAAAGGGCCATCCTCTAAGGAAAGCAGAGGACAGGAACTCTATATCCTTACAGTGAAATGCAAAACAACTGCAGAAAATCCCACTGGTAAATAGAACACAGTTTAATAAGTAGATTGAATATGATCTAACTATAAAATTTAGGTAAGAGTCAAGTGTTACATATGGCAGGATTGGAAAAAAATCATTCATGACATTTCTCTTACCCCCTACTTACCCCTCCCCCCACCATTTATGCTATTAACAACAACAACAACAGCAACAACGAAATGTTCCAAATATTTCTCCCATCAAAAAACTGAGTTAAAATAATGAGAAAGGTTTTTTTCTTTCTTCTTTGAACAGTCTCTTGAACACTCTCAATACCAATCACTCACAAGGTATCTGTGCAAATTTATTTCACATGATTTCAAGGAAATGATTAACTCACACACAAAAAAATCCTTAAACAATGCTATTTTGGAATTTTGTATATTATCTGGAAAGGAGGGAGGAAAAGGGGTGGCGGTGGTGGTGGTAAAGAAGTACGATCCAGCCCCCAAAAATGTTAAAAGTTTTAAATCAACAACGAGTCTGACATTTTCTGGTCTGGGGACCCAGGATTAAAATGTTGGGAGATTCTGGTCCGGCTGCTATTGAAGAACACATTTCTCTTCTTTCTTGGCCATCTTGCCTTTGTTTTGCTCCAGAGTTCGCTCCAAATGCTCATCTTCCTCTTCAGCCCTGGAAGTCAAACAGGAAATACATTTATTTTTCGACGTGGAGGGCAGAGTGGCACTCCCCTCTCACCCCACAATCCGAGCCCCAGCGGGAATAAGAATCCTGGGGCCAGTTCGGGGAAGGGAGGGCTGCCCACTCCCCGCCCCCCGCCCCCGGCCCACCCGAGACCGCTGGACTGAACTTTCCGCAAACTTCTTGGCCCCTCGGCTGGCGGCAGAGACTCGACCCCCGACCCCACTGCCCACTCACTGCTTCTCCTGCGCGTCCAGGTCCCTGACGAGGGCGTCGCGCTTGTTCACCAGGGCCACCAGCTCATCCAGCAGGAGCTGCTCGCGTCGCTTCTGGGCCTCGGTTTTCTGCCAGTCTGCAGAGGACAGGAGGCTCGTTATCCACCCGCAGGACCTTGGCAAACCCGCCCCCCCTTCCCGCCTTTTCCTTGTATCTCTCCGCAAACCATGTTATAGAGCCACTAACTAGTGTTTTATCGGGAGTTTGGCCGTCCTGATCAGGATTTCACCCTAAAACCCCAATTCCTAAATATTTCCCACAGATGGAGATGGCTACGGCTGGGCTGGAACCTGCAAAAGACGCCAGGTGTGAGCCGGTTGTCTGCCGGAGGTGCACACCTGATTTTGCCAGAGAGGGGGTAGGGAGAGCCAGAGGCCCAGAAGAGATCTGCCGGGGGGGGGGGGGGGGGGGGGGGGGGAAANGTGTCGCGGTCGGGCGCGCCCGCGCTGCCGGGGCCGCGGGGTCGGGCCCCGAGAGCGGACTGGGCTCTGGGTGAGGAGGAGGAGGAGGAGGAGGAGAAGGAAAGGGGCGCCCGCTGAGTGAAAAGGGGCCGCGGCCGCCGCGCATCAAAGTGCTTCCCCCTCCCCCAAGCGACACTTCCCTTTGGAGTCCGAATAAAATACGGTAACAGAATATGATGGAGGGCACACTGTTTCCTTAACTGCTTCTCAAAGGACCCGGGAGATCTTCTTAGGACCTTTAATAAGGCTTTGGTCGGTTCTTTTGTTGATCTCTCAAAATCAACTCCTTCTAATTGAAGTTGGAGCTGAAAGCGAGCTAATGTTCAAAGAAAGTGGCCGCCAGACCAACGAAATTACATTTTTTTTTGGACGATGAGGGAACATCTAATCAAAGGGGCAAAGGAGGAGGGGTGGGGGTGGGGGCGTATGGAGGAGAAAAGGAGGTTTTACAAGATCCTTCTCTGGTTCACAAAAGTCAGCGACACGGGCGCTTCTCTCCAGAACAAAGACACCGCAGCCCATTCACAAAAGGGAAAGAAAGACAGAGACACAGAGAGAGAAAACAATAAAAGAACGAGAGAAAAGGGAAAAACAGGAGAAAGAAAAAGCTTTAACAGGAAAAGAAACTGCGCAGAGCGCAGCGCTGACCCGGGCGGGGACACAACTTAGGCTCGCGCAGGCCCCCGCGGGCTGTAGCCCGCGAGGCCCGCGGCTCGGAGCCCCTGCGACGGTGCAAAGGCTTAAAGAAAGAAATGAAATACACCCGCGCCTTCAGTTCCGGGGAAAGGCGCGGGCAGGAGGGCACTGGTCTGTAGGGGAAGGGGAAGGCTATGCGGGCGTCCCGGAGTGAGCGGCGAGAGCGTCTGCGTCCGCAGCCCGGCGCGGTCCCAGCCCGGGCCTCCGCGCTCTGCGCCCGCGTGTAGCCGTCCGGTGCCGGGGTGCCTGCCGGCGTCCCCGCCCGGCACCCCCTCGCCCTCGGGCCCCCTCCGGGCCGCGTCTCGCCTGCAGCTGCGGCGCGGGCCGAGGTCGGGCGCGGAGAGCCGGGGCTGCTGTGCGCGCTGGAATGTGCTCAGGCAGTCCCCAGGGCCCGCCACGCGGGAGTCCAGCGCTCTCGCTTCCAGATGCTGCCACGGTCTCGGGGAAGTTGGGAGGTATCAAGTAGCACCCCCCCACCCCACCCCCGGCTAATGAGAGTGTTTATCTAATCCCAAATTGCCGGCGAATTTTCTTAATGCTCAACCCATAAAACCCCGGGATTAAGAAAAGAAAGAGAGGGAGAGGGAGGAGTGTAGAGAGGGAGACAGACTGAGATGAAAGTTTCTGGTACGCGGCGTGGAGGACTGAGGCGGCCGTCGTTAGGCAAATGTCCAGGTGGGAGACGCTGGGCCAGAAGCCGCGACCGTTCCAGCAACGGCCGCAGGGTGGGGAGGGGAAGAGGGGGGATCACCGAGGGAGAGCACGTCCACCCAGCGCGAGGCCCCCGGGCCGGGGTGGGGGCGTGGGAGCCGGGCCCTGGGACCCGGATCCGGCACCCAGGTGACCTCGAGGCCGGGCCAGACTCTGGGGGACATTTGGGACAGGGGGAGGGGTTTGGCTCCGGGGTCGTGGGACCCTGGCCAGGGGCGGAAGTTCTGTGCCGGCCTGCGGGCTGTGCCCAAGCCAGCCTGCTGCCAACGCTCCTCCTCCCCAGCGACCCCCGGGCCCACAGCTTCTTTTCCCGCAGCGCGGGCTGTCTGGTTCCGGGCCTCTCGGCACGCCGGGCTTGCGCCTGCGCTCGGCTGGCAACCTCTGGGCACAACGCGACGAAACCGGGACGCGGCGCCTTCGCCCCGGGCCTGACCCCGCTAGTCCCGGGGGTCCGCGCTCCGCCGCCGCTGCGGGGCGTGCGGGCGCCACCCAGCAGCCCAGATGGAAACCCCGCGAGGCTCGGGACTGGGGCAGGAGGGACAGCAAATGTGGGACTAGGGAAGGTTTGTCACTTGACAGGTCGAAAGCGGCGTGGGGAGCCGCCTCTCGGCGAGGCTCGTCGGGAGGGAGGCTTCCCCGAATCCAACATAAACGGGATGGTGATGCTGGCCGCCCAAGCCCCAGGCTGCTCCGGGCTGGCGATTTCGTCTGCCCGCTTCCCTGGGGTTGGAGTCGGGTTCTGAGAGCTTCCCCCAGAGCGGCAGCTAGCTCCGCTAGCTTGAATAAAGAGGACAAAAACTCAATTTCATTTAGTTCTGATAACTTTTCAATACTTCTTAACAATCCTTGTCAGGAAGAAATTCTACCGTAGGAAGTTTTCTCCTTTTGAAAGCCTGGCACTTCTCGAACGCAATTTATGTGTATGTGTCTGGTGTAGATTTGTGTATATATTTACATATATGTATGTGTGATCTAGGCTAAAATATAAATGCTAGAGCGCTGTTTCTGTCTCTAGACTTGTTGAACGAGCTTGCTTTGTTTCGGACACCTCTGTACAGGAGTGACGGAAACTACCATAAAATCGCCAGTTTTTTCTGTAGCCTAGAACTTCTTGCTAAAAGTTCCCTTTCTCCCGTCTCATACACACACCTGCACACATGTAACCTCGCTGCCGACAATAACCTTCTTTCTCTTTCTTTCTTTCTTTCACTTCAGGACCTACAGACTTGCAGGTTATCAGAAGTCATAATTTTTCCTAATGAGTGCAACGTTACTAACAATTGAAAATAATGTGGAAAATTCATGCAGATATTACTAGCATTTTGTCAGTGCTGTGCAATCACAAATTTCCTCAAATCTTTAACGGAGATGACCCTTGACAAAAGAGAATAGTTTACACTGCTTAAGAAAATATGACTAACTGTTTTTCAGTTCGCATGTGTGTGTCAGCAGGGCCCCTTTGGGATGGTATAAACTTACTCAGCTCCAAATACAGCCTAGTATCCTGCTCTGCAATCAAGAGGACCATTTTCTCCCACATGAAAAGTCTTATGGATACAGGAACTTCTCAAACCAGTGGCAAGTTTTCATTGCAAAGAAGCATCAGCAGTGGTTACGGTAAGAAAGTTTCTGCTTTTATTGAAAATTTATATATGACTCAGTATTGTAATAAATAAACAGATAACCATTTTCACACACACAAAAAGACGACAGTGCTATGCTAAAGAAGAAAATATTAATTGGGAGATTTACTCATAGTGGCAAGACAGACTTTTATCAATACAGAATAAATATTAACAGCATTCTTGAGCCAATGTTGAGACCCAACAAAATGTAGGAACCAAGCTAGATGTAATAAATAATTATCCAGAGCAAAAGATGGCGCATTCTCAGATAAGACCGTCTTTGTAAACTGATGCATGTCAATTAGCCCCATCCTCACAGCTCACCTTCAAATCACAGGACTTGTCTCAGGCTACATTAAAGGGCCATCCTCTAAGGAAAGCAGAGGACAGGAACTCTATATCCTTACAGTGAAATGCAAAACAACTGCAGAAAATCCCACTGGTAAATAGAACACAGTTTAATAAGTAGATTGAATATGATCTAACTATAAAATTTAGGTAAGAGTCAAGTGTTACATATGGCAGGATTGGAAAAAAATCATTCATGACATTTCTCTTACCCCCTACTTACCCCTCCCCCCACCATTTATGCTATTAACAACAACAACAACAGCAACAACGAAATGTTCCAAATATTTCTCCCATCAAAAAACTGAGTTAAAATAATGAGAAAGGTTTTTTTCTTTCTTCTTTGAACAGTCTCTTGAACACTCTCAATACCAATCACTCACAAGGTATCTGTGCAAATTTATTTCACATGATTTCAAGGAAATGATTAACTCACACACAAAAAAATCCTTAAACAATGCTATTTTGGAATTTTGTATATTATCTGGAAAGGAGGGAGGAAAAGGGGTGGCGGTGGTGGTGGTAAAGAAGTACGATCCAGCCCCCAAAAATGTTAAAAGTTTTAAATCAACAACGAGTCTGACATTTTCTGGTCTGGGGACCCAGGATTAAAATGTTGGGAGATTCTGGTCCGGCTGCTATTGAAGAACACATTTCTCTTCTTTCTTGGCCATCTTGCCTTTGTTTTGCTCCAGAGTTCGCTCCAAATGCTCATCTTCCTCTTCAGCCCTGGAAGTCAAACAGGAAATACATTTATTTTTCGACGTGGAGGGCAGAGTGGCACTCCCCTCTCACCCCACAATCCGAGCCCCAGCGGGAATAAGAATCCTGGGGCCAGTTCGGGGAAGGGAGGGCTGCCCACTCCCCGCCCCCCGCCCCCGGCCCACCCGAGACCGCTGGACTGAACTTTCCGCAAACTTCTTGGCCCCTCGGCTGGCGGCAGAGACTCGACCCCCGACCCCACTGCCCACTCACTGCTTCTCCTGCGCGTCCAGGTCCCTGACGAGGGCGTCGCGCTTGTTCACCAGGGCCACCAGCTCATCCAGCAGGAGCTGCTCGCGTCGCTTCTGGGCCTCGGTTTTCTGCCAGTCTGCAGAGGACAGGAGGCTCGTTATCCACCCGCAGGACCTTGGCAAACCCGCCCCCCCTTCCCGCCTTTTCCTTGTATCTCTCCGCAAACCATGTTATAGAGCCACTAACTAGTGTTTTATCGGGAGTTTGGCCGTCCTGATCAGGATTTCACCCTAAAACCCCAATTCCTAAATATTTCCCACAGATGGAGATGGCTACGGCTGGGCTGGAACCTGCAAAAGACGCCAGGTGTGAGCCGGTTGTCTGCCGGAGGTGCACACCTGATTTTGCCAGAGAGGGGGTAGGGAGAGCCAGAGGCCCAGAAGAGAAGGGGGGGGGGGGGGGGGGGGGGGGGAGTGGGTAAATGAGGGGGCGGGAAGAAGCAGAGATGGGCGATAAAAATCACTCTGAAAAGGCTGGAGACTCTGCTTGAGAACCTATCCTCCCCCACCCCCATGCTCACCCCATACAGCCCATTCTTCGCTAATTTCCTCTTCGCTCTATTTTAGCAGTTGGATGTATCTCACACTGGGCGCCATATGCTTCACAATAACTTTAAAAGTAGTGAATCGGCTAATTAGCATTTTTCTTTGAAGTAAAAAATAAATTTGCTCTGCAATATTACACTGCAGCTCTCGATCGCATCACAGCCAGTTTTCTTTTGGAGAGGTTTGCTGGGTGGTTTAAAATCAAAGCACTTTTGCAAAGGAAAAATTACATACTTCTTTTTGAAACCCCACGTTAAAGGTTGGAAAATCCGATGGGCAGTGCGCTTTCCACGGATAGGGGCAGGGTTTTTGAAGGCTTTAGGACCCATTAATATATTTCCTAATCTACGTTGGTCTGGTAATTTCCTTAAGATGAGCAGCAGTTTCGTTTAATAAAAACAGGACCAAATCGAACATTTAAAGCACTTTTAAAACCAAAGCCAACTGCTCTCTGGCCAGACTGTAAGGGCTTGTAGCTGTCAATCAACCCCCAGTCTACCCCGCCTCCCTCATTAGGAAGGTAAACAATGAAAAGAAGAAGTAGATGATGAGGCAGATAGCAGAACAAATGAGGACCTAGAGGGAAACAGGACACCAGCTTTAAAAAAAAAAAAAAAAAAAACACACCCTGGCCACTGCACTGACTCATGCATCCCCCTCCCCCAACAAATGCACTTTCCAAAAAACAGAGAGGAGTGCAATCCTTTCGGGTTTCTCTCTTCTCTCTCCATTGCCCTGGGCAATCATGTTAAAACTCACATGGCTGGTGCTTATTCAGATAAACCTAACAATGCACACCGCTGGTTACCATGTGAATCTTCACAAACCACACAAGAATGTGCTGGTTCAAATCCCCCCGACCCCCTCCAAAGCAAAATTTATTCAAGACAGCAAACTGCTCAGCAGCTTTATGAAAGCAAATGGTGCTAGAGGGAATTCTATCTTGTATTTACAAATTAAAAATTAGATGCATCATCATGCAATAAAGGTTAGAATAGCAGCAAAAAGCTAGAATGCTTTATTCAATTCTATCACTATTCCTTTCTTTATAAGCTCAAATACATGCATATATATATATGAAAATGCCAAGTATTAATTATCCACATTTGATACAAAAATTGCACAAATAAGGACATTAACTGGTCACATTACATTCTTATAAAAGGAGAAGTGAAATATTCTATCGCATGGGAAGGAATAAAGAAACTATTACTATGGAAAGTTTTTTTCTGAATATAAGAATTAACAAAAATAATAACAAAACAGCAACATTGAAGAAAAGCCATATCTACCACAATCTTATTCTTTGCATTTAAATGCAACTGTGGGCAGGAACGCAAAACAATTTTCTAATTTAACTCCTGTTCTTAAATCAGTCGTACTCTACACAGCAGAAAAATTAATAGACACTCCAGTTGGAAGGATCTTTAAGGTCATCTAGTCTAATTTCAGGTAACTGTAGTTCTAGAAATATTATCTCAGAGAAAGACCTGCTAAATTTGTAGAAGATTTGTAACTAAATTTTATAATTATTAAGATTACCAGTTTTGATGAATATTAATTTTTCCACTTTCAACCTCAAGAAATCATTCACATTATAAGCTTTATAATTCTTTTCTTCCAAAACATTTTGATAAGAGCTTTATAAATTTCCTCCACCAAATACTTAAAAAATACAATTAAATTGAAAATTATAAATATTTTTAAAATCAAGAAAAAATAAAATTTAACAACAGTCCTATAATTTTCTTAATTAAATTGTTCCTTCTCTGCACTTGACCAGTCACTTCTAAGGCTTTAATTAATAATTAGAAATATCAAGATAAATAAGGCTTTAACAATAAGGATGAGAGAAAATTTTTTTTAACCCCTGAAGAAATGAATAATTTTTAAAAATCTTGACTTTTTCCTAGTTCAATAAAGACATTTCTGTAACAATAACAAAAACATTTTTTAGTTATGAATATTTAGGTTATTTTCATCATTTCACAGTCAAATTTAACTGACATTAGAATTTAAAATGTTGCAGCATAAATTTAAGGATTTCTGACATTAAATTTGTCATTGCTACATTAATATCTATCTACAAAATATTAGTCAACTACAGAGGAAATAGCTATGTACAGTGAGATTTTACACTAGCAAGACTACTTTTACTTGGCATTTGCTTTCTCATGGGAGTATATTTATACACACACACACACACACACACACACACACACACACATACACATATTTGAATGCTGATGGGATATTAAGTAAACTATTTTGATGATTTAAAATAATTTAATAATACCTTTAAAACTGATCAAGATTTACATTTGTACGTTCATGCCTAAATTAAAAAAAAATTTATAAATCCCCTTTTAACAGTTTCACTTAGAGGTAATGTCATGTTTTAAAAACCTGCATGTAAGTCTATATGTTACCTGTTATGCATTTTAAGAAAGGATTACTCACCTGTAACACCAGTCACAGCTAGCTAGATACACTGACTTTGACTTGAACAGACTACAATGTAGCTTCTGATTAATTTAAAGATTCCAGTGTACTTTTGCTACAAAAGCCATATCCTCTTGCAACAAATAGGATTAAGTTTTGATGCTGCATTTGAGCCAAAGTGTTGAAATAAAGAGATTCTGTTTATGTCCATCTGCACTGAACAGTTTTGTTAATTTAAAAATTTCTTTTTTATATATAGGACCAATTATTCATTCCCCAATTGAGTTTATTTGCTGAAGTTGATAATTACCTTGGAAAAAAAGGCAAAAGAAATACCTATAAATACTTCGATAGAAAGGACCTAAAGTTCTTGTAGTAAACCTTCAACCTTGCCACTATAAATAAGCCTGGCACTTTGATGAAAATTAACACTAGTTTTGTAAAGAGCACATTGGGGGATTGCAGTCAAGTCTTATCTTTAGTTCCAGTCAACTAGCAATCCTGAAAGAGTTTGCATCATCATCAGAGCAGGCCATTTGATAGGATTCTACTGCTGTACCTAATCAATCTATGGAAGACTGTGGCTGTGCTGTGTAACAAAGCTAAAATAGATTTACAAATGGGGTTTTAGGGGATAAGCTCCTCCACAGGATTACATATTGATTTTAAATATAAAAAGCTTATCATATAAACCATAACTACAAAAATAGTGAACCTATGCATAAATCCCTTTAGAAGAGCACCCACTTCAAACTCTAAGCCAAGAATAAATCAAGATGTACAAAATCCTAGAGAAGATCCATTTCTTGTGCAGAAAATGAACACACCACTTTCTAAAAGCCCACCCCAATGTGTGCAGAAATGAATTTATCCTTCCTGAGGGCGCATTAAATAATTTGGAACAAAAAACCTATAGGAAAAGTATCTAAAAGATGTTTGTTAGCTTAAGGGATCCTACAACTTAGCTCAGTAGAGTGAAACTCCTGCTATGAAAAATACCTCAAGGAAAAAAAGGCAAAAAACAGGCCAAAATGATTATGGATTTTCAGAAAAATGGATATATTGAATTATTTTCCTTCTCAAACTGAGCTGCTAGAATATTTCTTTCAATGTGCTATATGGCTATTAACATTCTGTGCTTTTTTCCTGGTAAATAGCTTCAGCAGCAAATTTATTTGAAAAGATTTTAGTTTACTTATTATGAAAACCATCTTATGGCTACTAAATAGAAGATACAGGAAAGAAAAGAGGAATGAAACTTAAAACAAAGGAAAGCAAAACAAAACTAACTAGTGTTGCCTATTCATGTGTTTTTCTGTGGGTTTTTACACTCCAAAAGGCTACTGAACTGCATGCACATACATTCTAGGGGCTGACTCAGAAGACACTGTGTTCACAGAACTGATCATCAACACAGTCAATACCTGTCTAGGACAGCCCAGCCCATGCACTGTCCAGGATAGGAGGACAGGCCTCTTACTAACAAAGTATCTTTATTTGTCATCAACAGGCTGCTTCTTTCCTCAAGTCTCTTTTTGACTCAACCAGCAACAGAAACTGACACAATCACATATGGAAGAGTGATCTTAATTAAACAATAAAACAAAACAGAACAAAACCTCAAAAAACTACCAACTGTATTAAATGTGTTAGAAAAAGAAAATCACTTTTTCCCCTTCTTAAAAAATGACTTTGTATTGGTATGAACAAGAATAGGCAGATAAAATGTTAAATTATTCAAGATTGTAGATTTGGTATATAGGGATAGGACTGACCATAAAAAGGAGATCTTTTAAATGTATCATGGCCCTGTTTTTAAGATGGTATTTGGTAATAATACTGGTTTGGGCACAGAAGCAATATCTGCCTGTATTAACTGTTAACTGTATTGTATCAAGCTGTATTTTTGGGATAATTTAACTTACTATACATGAGAGAGTGTTTTTAATACTCTGCATTCACTGTAATGTATAATGAATCTATAAAGAAAGAATAAACTGTATAATGAGTCATACATTATACATACTATATATACATACATTTTATATTACATACATATATATGCCATATAAATAGTATCTGCTATACCCACTTTTCATCTGACTATTTAGCTTTCCAATCTCTTTCAAAGGCTACATTATGACTATAAAAGATTTTATGAAGAGGAAAAATACCATTTAGCATACCTGTGCATTTCATTTCAATGGCAAGTTTCACAGAACTTCTTAAATAATTTTGACAAATTTTATAATCATTATCAATTTATAATTTGATACATTTGGATACCCATTTGAAGGAAATTAGTTATCTGAAGCCTTTTAAATAAGGTAAATCAGATTTCTAAATGAGGATATACAAATTTCAGTCATATTTATCAAATAAGGTTACGGATACAAAAGTATTTAAAAATAAAACCTTTATACATGGGTAAGATTATATTTAGATAAATAGCATATAGTTTATTTAATCACAATGTTAATTAACATATTTTAAAAATATATAGTTTCATTTGGCTTTCCTTTACAAACTTAAATTTCTAGTTTCTAAACTAATTAGAATTGGCTTATTATGGATCAGGTACCTTATCAGGTAAAGAAGGAAATTACTATGGACAGTCAATGGGTTAAGAGGTCAATATAGAATAGGAAAATCAATTTGCATTGATTAGACAAAAGGTCCATTTTCCTGAGCACAAAGGATTAGTTTTTAAGTAGACATCTTTGAACTATAAGACATTTTCAACTAAAAGGTGTAAGGAGAACAGCATTCTTAAACAACGTAAGAATTTAAAAAAAAAATCACATTTAGTAAATGCCATAGTTAAGCTAGCTGATGTTTACTGATGTCATGAATCATGGATTACTACATAATTCATTTAAAAGCTTTATGAAAAGTATGGAAGTGTTTCATTTATCTCTTATGTCAATCTTTGCCTGAATATTCACTTAATAGGAGTTGGGATCTTAAGAACTATAGTAGATTGCAGACATATTTCAGCGTTGACATCAATTAAATATTAAGGTAAAATTTAGAGTCTGATGTGAAAAATCAAAATGATAAATCTTTCCCCAACCTCCCTTGTAAAATTTCACATAGTAAAATGTAATTAAATCATTTAACTCCTTATATTTGCCGTTTAATGGACATCTGAGCTTACTGACAAGAGTTAAGACAATTTTGTCTTTAATAGCACACATAATGAATATCTACCTGAATTAGAGTTCTTAGGTTTTATGTGTCTGTTGCTTTCTGACTCTAAGGCATTTATCTGTAATTTCTGTTGGTTCCTAGTCAGGCCACACCTAGTGAGACTAGAAGGGTATTACAGTCTTTAAATCTCCTTGACAGTTGACACTTCATGTACCTCACTCCACCACAGCATTTCTTACCTTCAATGGCTAGCATCGCCCGCAATTCCCGATTCAGCAGCTCATACCGTCGTTCTAAATCATGCTCTTTTTCCCTAGGCAAGTTGCAAAAGTTCATCAATATGCTAATTACTAAATCATTAAACACTTAAAAGAACCTTTAGGTTACATTGATTTTAGGACTCATAACTGACTTTTCTCTTTAACTTTAAGCTACTCCAAACAAACGATACACAAACCTAAAACCTTCCTCAGGTTGAATATTTACTAGTGCTATCATTTTTCTCCTTCAATTCTCAATTGCACAGAGGTATAGTTTAATCTTCAGGTAAGTAGTCTCATGTAAGCTTCTTGTATTAAGTGCCTGGTATAGGGCTATATTGTAAAATATTTTTCATAGTTTACAGTAAACATTCTTTTGTCTAGAATGCCATGTTGAAAAGAATACAAGAAACATGTAAGTACTACCAGTGCAAATTTAATACAGAGACAATTAAAAAATCCAGGAATAGTGGAGTTTTGTGCCTCTTCATAACTCTTCTAATCAAGTTCAGGAGTGGCAGAAATGACAAAAATAGAGGTTCTTGCTAAAATAAAACATGTAAGCCTGCTCCTTCCCACACTAGGTGGCATAATATAAGAATATTCTAGTGAACAGAAAGAAACACGCATTAAGTCCTATAGTGAACTAAATGCCAAAGACCAAGAACTGCTTACATTTGGTCTAGTCTACATTTTACTGTACACAAAAGTGATCTTTTTATGATTGGAGAAATCATCCAAATTTAGGGTAACATCATCTGTAGAATACAAATGTACTTTTGTCCACAGTAAGAATTGTTACCATTTTTAACTTAAAATGTGATGTTAAATAAAGTTTAATTTTATTTCTTTTCCCCAATAACCCTTAGTATATATAATCCAAATCTCCTTTTTGGTGCACTAGGGTTTTATTTCTTAAATACAAAAATTTTTTATATTCCCTAGCTTTCTATACAATAAACATTTTTCAGTATATATCACTATTTTAAAAAACTACTGCTCAGATGAGAAATTATTATATACTGTTTTTAATTTTTATTTTTATATAAACTATACTATAATCTCCAAGGAAAGAAAAATATTAAGCTTAATTAAATTGAAACCCCAAAGTAGGCAATGACAAAAAGCCTAAGATTCATTTGTTGTAGGAAAAATAAGCATAAGCATGAGTACTTACAGGAGAGAAAGCTGGTTCATTCTCCTTATTAAAGCATTTTTCTTATTAACCAACATAAACCATTCCTGCATCATAGCTTCTTCTTCTTCTGTGTTCCTTCCTGTAATTCAGCAAATTATTTATTACTTTATGAAATTTTACAAGCCAAGTAATAGATTAGCACAAGGGTTTTTTTTAAACATGAAATATTTTATCTACCCCAAAAGTACAAATTAAACTGTTTATAATAACATAATAATAAAGTCTAGGGCCTGAAAAAATAAATCAACATCTAAAAGTTCATAAGCCAATCTTCTAAAGCTGGTATTACTCAGCATACATATTTCAGTCCTGCTGAACATATCTGCAGATCATACTAACATTAAGTACAGTGGAAAAAAAAAAAAGAAAGAAAGAAGGAAAAAAAATAAAAGAAAAAAAGGAAGAAAAGAAAAAAGTGTTCCAACTTTTAAATCCACCCCAGAGGCTGACTAGTTATATTTCAATAAGGAACTCATGCTGCTAACAGACATACGGTCATGATAAAACAAAACAAAACAAAAAACAAAAAACTCCACCAAACATTAAAAAAATCATTAACAGAATTATAAGACTAATAGGAAGATCACAGAAATCCAGAGATTTTTGTGAAAGCTTCCACTTGTAACAACTTGCTTTTTTTTTCTTATTTTCCTCCCCAAAAGTAAACTAAAGATATACATTCATATATCATCCTGGAACTCATCATCCCTAATAGGGTAAACACATACAAATTATTTTAAATAAATTATAAATGACTAGGCTACAAAAAATACCTTTAACTACCTGTGAAAAGACACATAATAATGAACATAATAATGATCAGTACATCACAAAACATTTCAGCAGAGAGAAGATCTAAAATTTAGACTTACTGATTATACATTTAGAATTCATTCTTCATCATCTATACCACTCCCCACTGAAGGCCAGTATATCAAGGGTTCTAATATATAGTATATATTTGGTATTGTTCATGTAGAAGTAGGCCACAATCACATTCAAGAAAAATATTAATCCCTCATCTTCTTCTCATCTCTCCATTCAAACTGTACCTCTCAAATTTATAATTCTTTGACTTTCTTCTTTCTGAATTTCACCCATGATTGGTTTATTGTTTTGCTAGGCCAGTATTTAATACTTCAGTTCCACTTCTGTATAGATCTGTAGGGCTAATTTAAATATCTAATAAAAAATAAAATATCCTAGCTTTATTTTTTTAGGCAAGATATTTTCTTTTAACTTTCAAACACACAATCAGCCCATTTAAAAAATTCAGACAATAGATACCTAAAATAAAATCAGTGAAAAGCCATGTCCTCGTTCACCAGCCCCTCCCTCCCCATTCCTCTCTCCATCTCTTTTGTCCAGAAGTAAGTACTTCTACAGTTTAGCCCATCTCCTTTCAGACCACACAGATTACTATGTATATCAAATCACTGCATTATGCCTTATTTATAGACAAATACAGGTTTCTTGTCTTTAGCATAAGTAAGATCATATTATATATTGCCTTATGATTTGCTTTTGTTACACTGTTCAAAGATCTACCTCATTATTTTTAATATTTGCATAAATTATGGACGTACCATAATTTAACTATTTCCACATTAATAGAAACCTGAAGAAATTTTTGGAATGGAAACAGAATATAAAGAGCTCATCTGTGTGCAAAAGATCAAACGTGTACTTCAGAGTATCCCTATAAAATAGATATCTGTTGTTCATCATTAGGGAGAATAGTGAGGATACATGCCTTCATTAAATGCTGTTAAAACTTTATGGTATGAAGCAGGCATAGGATAGATTTTTTTGGAGTATGAACAAAAGTCTTTATTGTTTTACAGTATTTTTAATCTCTCTTTTAGGGTAGCTGGTTTTGTATTCACTTTGGACCATGTGATGTCTTGACACTGATCATGTGATACAGGCTGTGATACAGGCTGCGATACGCACAAATCCCTGGGTAGCAACAAAAGAAGAAAGAGTAGAAAGAAAAAGCTGAGAAAAAGCTTGCAATTTGGAAAAAGGCCAATTGTACCCTGGTGAAGGCCTTTTTGATCAGTGAAATGACACATGTGTGCAATATTAATAGGTGCAGTTTTTATGATATTTTATTTGCTGATTAAAGACTTAATTCATATGTTCATAACATAAGTGGCTTCTAAAAATATAGACAGATTAAAACTTTGTTTTGAGTTTAACAACCTATAATTCAGGCTTTCAGCAATACTAGAAGCAACTAGCCTACTCTTAAATTAGCATCATTTTCTTCAATGGAAGACTGCTTCCTTGAGAAAAACAATATGGATATAGTACTGTGTTACTTTTAGTTTAACTTCATGCCTATGATTTCTAGGTAAGAATAAAAGATACCCCTCCTCTAATTGTTAGTAAATGACTAATCATACAAGAGTCTTGTACTTCAAAAGGAAATAAGCCTAACAATAACAAATATTTAAAGACACATTACAGTCTACCACATAGATTATATAAATTAACTAAAAAAAACATATCTGAGGTTAAATCAATTCTGTATCACTATCTCCTATCTGAGATAGTATACAATGATGGAAATCTATATTTAGCCTAGTAATAAAAAAAATAAATTTTCTTCTAATACATCATTACACTATTGTTTTTCGGGATTTAAAATTTTTTAAATTTAAAAAGCTTTTAAAAGCCAGTAAGTTGAACCATTACAAATTAATCCTGACTTTAATAACTGGTTAAAGACCCCTTTAGCTTTATAAGTAACAAAAAATATTAAAGCCTGTGATCACAGTGAGCTTTTCTCATTTCTCCTCTAACCATTTGTTATTTAATCCAATACTAGTAATCCAATTTGTCCATCAGACTTTTAAAGGGCAGAATGCAACTTCCTCAGCTTAGACACTTTTCAAAGTACAATATATTTTTCAAATGAATGCTGGATGTTTCATTTTTCCCAACTGTTCCTAGCTCTAATGCATGAGGAAAAAAAGAACAAGATGAACATTGTTCATACTGATTAAGTAAGAGCTCATTAAAGAGCTGTCAGTGCGGTACTTTGAATATGCATGAAGCATATAATCAGATCTAGTACCGTCACTAGAGGAGAATACGGTAAGTACAAAGGATTGATTTAATTACTTAGAGTGGGCTGTGGTGGTAAAGCAGTCTTGTTAGTGCAAAAAGAAAAAGAGGTTGTATTCTGGCACTGTTAGAAAAAAGGCAGTTTTAGCTTCTACCACAATACATAATCTCAGAATAAAGCACTTTACATTGTAGCTTAAAATGAAGACTGTCATTATTTTATAAAATGGCCATAAATCATTTTATCTTGTTTAACCTCACCTGGTTAACTACTTGTCTTTCAAAATTATCTTTAATTTGTAATTACAACTACATTTTGTCATCATAGAGTCAATACTGATACTTTTAAAAAATCTTAATTCTTTTTCAGTTTTATGAACTGAAAAATTCAAGACATATACTACTGAAGATCGTTTTGAAATAAAAAGTGACAAAGTACTACAAGTCAATATACAATTACTGAAATGTAAAAACATGGCCGGGTTGTTATACTGTATTTTAAAACACAGTGCCTCAGGTAAATATACTACAAATAACAACATCACATTAACATTTTAAAGTTAATAAAATCTCTGGTAATATATTTTTTTCTTTTTTTCTCCTTGAAGACTTCTGTTTTTATTTAGCCTCTAGGAATGTAACATCTTTTCTGACATCACAATTTCTTAATGTCAATTTTTTTTCTTTTAGCCAATTACTACAACTGGGATATGATTTGTAAAAATTATTAAATGATCAAGAATAATGATAATGGCAGGAAGAGTAACTATATAAATATGATTTCCAATCATTCTCCCTATGACATAGTTCACAAAAACTACTTAACAGGATGCAGCATAATATCCAGCATTATATACTATAATATACTTAACACCTTAAGCACTATAAATACTTAATAAAAGCAGGTTGACTATACCAACCATTTTTATATTCCATCTTCTCCAAAAATCAAAAAAGATTTAAAGATTTAATTTCATTCAAGAATTCATTCATTTATCCAGGAATACATATGTGGTTTTCATTTATTTTTTCAGAAGCAGTATTCTCAATGTAAATTTTTAAATGAATAAAGGAAAAGTGATGTCAAAACCCTAAAGTTATCAATCATATATTCAAAAACTGTCTACTAATTAATCTTCCCTAATTAATCTTTCTCCATAAACTTATCATCTATTTAGAAAGATATATTTTTAGGCACTGAATACTTATATACAATTTAAAATAAAGAACAATACAATTTTAGCTAAACAGAAGATGATTTCAGTGGAAAAGAATGAAAACATAAAGATGTAGGCTATTGTTGTACATATAAACGAATTCAAAATTTCTACCTTGAAAATGTTAAATCCTGAAATCTTGCCATAGCCCCATCTAAGGGATGGCTGACCAGTGATCACATATGGCCCTTAAGGGACACAATGTAACAAAGCCACACCAAACAAAAAAGTTGCCATTACAAATTGTCCTAATGGTATGATAACACCAACATGATGACCTTTGAAAAACAGAATGTATTACAGTAGAGAGACTAGCTGGTACCAGAGAATCACATTTTAATAACAAAGGAAGCGAAATCTGGTAGATTTATTTAATGGACAAAAAAGAGGAATTTACTGTAGTTATGTAGGGCCATGGACACATCAACTCCTGAAGCAACATTACTGCAAGATTACTGCAAGATTCCAGGGCATCCATTTTAGAAAATATTTTAAACTTAGAAAATAACTTTATTATGAAAACATTTTACTATATAAGCAAATAGCCGATAAATGTTTCTACCCCAAGAATATCCTGAAACAGCAATCAATATACAAAGAATCTCATAATCTTTACTAATGTTTTTCAGCAATAATGGTCTTAAAACTATTTGCTTGGCCTGATATATTTGTTATAGTATTAATATAAACTTTGGGGAAAATCTTGTCTCCTATTGTTGCAGTAGAATAAAAACTAACACACTCTCTCAAAATAAACATACCTCTTATTTACTCATTTGGTAAAACAGAG